ACCCAAAATAATGAGAATTTTGGGAAGGTTATAATTGACGTTTATGTTTGATTCATGTATGATGCATGTTTGATTTATGAGGGTTTCTCATCAATTGGTTACTTTGACACTTTATTTGGGTGTTGTATGAAATTATACTTCAACCTTTGGTTTTATATCATCATCCCATGGAATTATGTTAGTATCATGTGTTATGTTTTCTTTGAACATGAAGAACTTGAATATAAGAATGGAATTTGAGAAAGGGATGGCTTGTTGAAGCTTCTAATCTAGTTTAATTTGTTATGTTCAAGGTGGAATCTATGTTATGGTGATGTTAGGTTGAAATATTGCATTAATCTAACCTTGGATTGCATGTAAAATAAGGTGTTGTTGCTAAATTTCGAGTTGAAGTCGAGCTGTCCCAAATCTGGGCCACGACCGCTCGAGCGGAGGACATGACCGCTCGAGCGGGAAAATCGACCTCCCAGCAGTTTTGTGACTTGTACAGTTCGCTCGAGCGCGGGGGACTTATTTGCAAAAAAAAAAATGTGTTTGTTCAGTTTTGCGTGCTTGACTCTCTGGCATTTTTAGAATATTTTTCTGATGATTTTAAGATGGTTATAAATTCATGTGAAGTGTAATGACACAGGGAATAGTTCCTCAATGATTTAAGAAGAAAGAGAACTAATTTACAAGTTATGATTGTGTGCAGGGCACACTCCGGAAGAAACTAGCACGCCATCACAACGCTGTGAGTAATAGTACATTGAACGTACATTTATTTATCGCTAATGTCTGTTAATAACTTTCTGTTTTCCGTCAACTACGACATTTTCTTTTGTATTGATTAGAACTCAATGGAAATGAAATGTTGAAAAGATATACGTACATATTTGTATGTTCTGGGCCGAAAGCCTGTTCTGGGCCGAAAGGCTCTTCTGATAATTCTGGGCCAATAGGCCGTTCTGATAATTCTGGGCCAACAGGCCGTTCTGAAAGTAAAAGCATGTTAGACTCGCTTTTGTATTATGCATTGTGGTAAAATTGGTTATTAAACTACTCAAGTATTATTATTCACTGAGCTTGTCTCACTCTATAATTATATTTGATTCTATAGGAAATCAGCTTGGAGGTCAGTCCTTACATCATCATCATCTATCTTTTGTCAGCTTAATGACAACCAGGCACTTGGAGAAGCCCTTTGCATGCTAGGGCAGTTTTGCTAGTCTTAGTCATTTTGTACGCATATTTTGTTGGCCACATTTGTTTGTATCTAATATTTTGTATGCCCAAACTCTGGATTGGACTTGTAAATGTGTATGTAACTTAATCCCGGGCGCATATTCACTTTATGTTTAATTTCGAGACGTGGTCCTGGCATTTTGGTAGTCGCTCAATGGATGTGTTTGCATGTTATTTTATTATAAACGCTTCCATTCAGGCTCCGAATATCATTTATAGCAGGTTAAGTGTTTGTTTTTGATTAGGTCATGCCCAAAACCTTTAGGGGCGGGTTAGGAGCGTGACAAGTGGTATCAGAGCACGAGTTGCTATCTCACACTCGGATCCATTGAGCTTTAGGATGTCTAGAAATTTATAGGCATCATGTAGTAAAGGAAGATTGATAGCAACGTTAAATGTTTTCTGCTAATGTTAATGATGATGACCAATGCCTATTGCATTCTTTTGTGTATGTTGTACTTGATTGTTGTGTAGATCATGATGAGAACACGGACAGAGGAGCAGGAAGGTGCTACGGCTGCCCGGTTGGACAGGATGGAGAGAATGATTATGGAAATGGCAGAGACCTTACGTCGACAACAGCAACAGCAACAACCACAACGGCAACAACAACCACAAGAACAACCGCCACCACCACCAATACCTCCCCCAGCAGTACAAGAGTTCCATGCTGAAGATAGAATCATTACACTTACGAAGGAATTTAAAAAGATGAAACCGCCAGTGTTTAAAGGCGGAATCGAACCGATGAAAGCTGAGGCATGGGTATTGGGAATAGAAAAGTTGTTCGAAGTTTTCCCTTGTACTGAAATCCAAAAGGTGCAGCTTGCTGCTTTTACTCTTGAAGATGAGGCGCGAAGGTGGTGGATGCTTACAAGAACAATGCATCAGGGGCTGACATGGGACAGATTTTTAGAGCTATTTTATGACAAATATTTTCCCCAGAGTATGCGAGACAAGAAGGTGACCGAATTCGAAACATTGAGACAAGGAAATAAAACTGTTGCCGAATATGAAGCTCAATTCGCAGAACTAGCCCGGTTTGCACCTCACATGGTAGATACAGAATACAAGAAGGCGCGAAAATTTGAGGGAGGATTGCGGAGTACTATTCTGGACCGAGTTAATGTGTTGAAGTTACCTACCTACGTTGATGTGTTAGAAAGGGCTGTTATAGCAGAAGGAAATATTGCTGCTCAGACTCGGATTTCTGAATGGAAAGGAAAAAGGCAGAACAACCAATGGTTCAAGGGGTCAACTACTCCACCAAATAAGAAGCAAAATTCAGGGACCTCAAGCACAACCACTTCTACTTAAGATTTAGCCCCTGTGTGTTCAGAATGTGGATGGAGGCACCGTAGGGCTTGTCACCGATTGTCTGGAGCATGTTTCCGATGTGGCAAAACGGGTCATCTGGTAAGGGATTGTCCTCAAGGGAAGCAACAAAATAATAACAAAGTTGTTATAAGTTCAGTAGGGTCTGCACCAAATTCCAACACTAAGTCAGTTGCAAAACCTGCTAACAACAAAGACACTATGAGGCAAGGTAGAGTATTTGCACTGGTTCCGGGGGATGTGCAGAATGCTGCGACAGTGGTGTCAGGTACATTTATGGTTCATGGTCATTCTGCCTACGTCTTATTTGATTCTGGCTCTACCTGTTCCTTTGTGTCAAAATTATTTGCGAAAAACTTAGGTAAACCTGAAGAAGAATTGACTTATGTGTTGTGTGTATCTTCACCTATGGGAAATTCCATGATCTGTACTTCTGTCTATTCTGCTTGTGAACTTCTCATTGGAGATATCCGTGTATATGCTAATCTATTACCACTTGATATGACTTCTTTTGATATTATTCTGGGGATGGATTGGTTGGGTGAATATAGTGCCACTATAGACTGTCTAA